CGACAAGCGACGTGCATGGTTACCGATACCATAAAAATAATACACGTGACTGGCATATCAGAATTGTGATGTAACAATGAGCAGTTCAATGACAGTTCTTTCCGTGAATGAAATTTTTTATTTCATTATTTTTAAATACCAGAGTTTAGAAGCTAAATTGAAACATTGGGAAAGCTGAAAATTCGTCCTTCTCCTCTTAGACTGCCCTTGCATTGACGACCTTGTCGCGACCCATTTTTAAACCTTCCGCGACCCATGTTTGGGTCGCGACCCATACTTTAAGAACCACTGTTATAGATTGTTCCGTCTCATCTGTCGATATACTTTAAGGCAGGAGTCTCCAACTCAAAACATGTCGCGGGCCACTTTTTGCATTTTATTGACCACGCGGGCCGCAAACCAGAAAATTAGGTACAAAAATGGGTATCTGAATAATATTGTGTTAAAATTACACTTGAATCTTACAGCAAACGAAACATATTCATTTACTTGTGCTGGATATTTGGTCTCGATGTTTGGCCTCATTTTGCGTTGCAAATGCTCGTCCGTTAGTCGTGTGCGGAGGGCTGATTTGCTAACTTTCATAGCCAAAAAAAAATGCTCGCAAATATAAGAACTGCCAAAAATCGCAGGTATGCAAAGTGAATGTGCAATTAGCTTTGCAAACCTTTCTTCGGGCACAATGAACATGCGAAATGAAATTATTGCATTCATAATTGCATTATATAACAATATAGTGAATTATAAACGTGGACAACAGGGGGGAATTTTGGAGCCTTGTTCATTTACTTGCGCTCCAGAAATATGTGTACCAATTTGAAGGTAATTAATTTTGTTCGCCTAAATTTTATAAATAATTTTAAAAATATTTCCTTAGCTAACACAAGCAGTCCCCGAACTCCTAATAGAATTAAAATGAGGAAAATCGGAATAAAATTATTTCCTCACTCTAACCTGGTACACATACTACCGGAGTACCCATTTACCTATATTGCAGTTTTGAACGCACATGATAAAAGTGTAAAAAAAATAGCAGGCAGTTGAAAATGACGTGCACCAGCAATGTTCAGAAAAATGTAGGTACGATAGGACTTGCATATTTATCGCCGAGGAGAGGAAAGCCGATTAGACAGCCTAATCATATTGCGATCAACAGCCTCTTGTCCGGTTACCAGTTCGTGTCGAGTATTTATTGTAAACGAGAGCAGGTTTAATCTGCTTGAAATTTTGCATGTGCATTCATCATATCTCGGACCAGAAGCCTATTTATTTTGGATGAATTTATTTTATTTTATTCGTAACACGTCTAGGAATTAGCCCACGAGATATATTTACCGTCTAGCAAGAAGTATAAAACCCGCTGTGGAATCTATATTGACAACCAGCGGTGTTCAACCATTGCTTGGTTCAACTGAATTACAACTACAATAAAGATATTCGAACACTTGCTGTTTAATATTCTTTACAACCTGAAGTAGAATAAAAAACTGGTTGACCATAACTTTACATTGATTGGCTTATATCTCATCATGATCCGGGAAAAGACGGCCAGTCAGCAAAGAATATAGAAAGGAAAAAATTGATAAACCATTTACCGGTCTTAGTATTCCCTTTACTGACAGTCAGAAATTTGGTTCGCGGATTCATCTCATAAATGATCTTACGCATCTTATCGCATCATTGTAAAAGTAGAAAACCGACAACAAGCACAACAATAGAAGAAATGAAAATAACGGTGAAGCGGATGAAAAAGAAAGAGTCAGAAATGATCAAGGAGGTCCTAAAAGTCAAGCAGAAGCGTCCAAAAATATCGTAAAATTAATCAGGACACCAGTTAGTTCGTTCATTTTTATACGTAGGACAGGCACCCTTAGGGCCTCTAAAAAGTGTGATTCAGCCATGTAATAGATATGATATATTGAACGATCCTGGTAATAAAATACTCACAAATTGGGAAGTAACACAAAACAATAATTGTGACTTTACCAAATTTTAGAAGTTGAACTCTCCACTGACTTAGTTGAGTTAAACTTGCCCCGCGTTTTCGTATCAAGAACGCGCTAAAATCAATATAAACTCTAATAAAAATTCAGTTGAGTACAGTTTTTCGGTTTTCATTGTAGAACATGGCACGTGCAACAAGAATACACTATTTTTGTACGGCAGTATATAGACGCGTTGCCTCAAAAAGAAACCGAGGCCAATCAGGGATAGATAGATAATGATTTATTTACGAATATTTCATTGAATTAAATATTACAGTAAGAATGAACAAACAAATATTTATCATGAAATAGAATCGAAAGGGTGGCGGGCAAGACTGCGACGTCAACAAAGTTGACCGACCCGAGATAAAGTGAATGACTATACAAAGACAATACGATAAAATCCTGTGCAATTTTAGGGGTAGTTTATTTGGCGCTCCAGAAGAATGTGTCCAATAAGGAGGTAACTAATTTTGTTTGCCTACTTTATCAAGTTGTGTAAAGGGACTGAAACCCATGCGCAGGGGGTATATTCACATGGCTCGCACAGACAGTCCCCGAACTTGTAATAGAACTAAAATAAGGAAAATCTCAATTAAATTATGGCCTAACCCTAACATGGTATACATACTACGGGAGTACCGTTTATTTTGATTTTATTCAATGTTTTATAGATTATATTAATAGGCCTATAGTTTGAGCGACGATTTGAGTGTCGTCATCATCACAATATATTCAACCGTTATTTTAAAACTCGAGTCAATGGGTTGTTCGGAATGATTGCTGACACTGGTATCGCTGAATTAACCATTACATGGGTGGAATTGCCTTTTCATGATTATACTTTTATCGAAACCAACATTTTTTGGTTCTGTTAAATGCGGGGACTGCCTGTGTTAGCTAAGTGAATTGATCCTCTTTTCATAGACTTCCGTCCTTTTACCCAACTTGGTGTCAAGTAGGCAAACAAAATTAGTTACCCCCATATTGGTACCATTTTTGTAGTATTTTCCTATTTTATGTGAACCGTTACTTTATATTGATTCTTGCATGATGAAAATAAATATCGAGAACGAGAGACCGTGATTCGCTATACGATTGAGCTTTTTTTTTTTTTAACTTTCCCCTCCCCGGGATAAATATGAAATTCTACCATTCCCACATTGACCCGGCAGTTATTTGTAACTGTATTACTTGTATGACAAGCTAATTTTTTTCAAATAGTGGTTGTCTGAGGAAGCCGTTGGCGTAACCGGAGAGCAACGAAAGCCAAGGCGAACGAAGAACGAGTCAAGCGATTCGTTCACAAGTAGGCTATATATGATTATGTAGAGACTGAAATATTTCTTTTTCTTAATTTAAAAAGCTATAAATGGTATAAAATGAACTAACAGATGTAGTTTAAATTTCTCCCCAGTCACGGGTCTCAGTCTTTTAATAGTTATTCAATAAATAACAAGAGAGCTGTGCTCTCTTGATGTCGCAAGATGTCGCTATTTTTCATTCTGACACATAAAAACGAATCTCTTGAAGTCCACAGAAATTTTTGAAAAAGGTAAAAGTAATAGCCTTTTTGCAAAAAAATCAATCTTTAAGCACTGAAAATTTCAAAGCAATTGGTTCAGTATTCGAAGAGAAAAGCGATTTTATCATGACGAAAGAGAAGAAAAACAACAACAACAACATAATATTGAAACGATCGTTATGTACACTCGCGTGTCCAATAATAACAACAGAGGAATGCTGAAATATATGGAACCACAATTCAAACAACTATTATGGACACGGAAATGTTGTCAACATGAAGAATAACAATCATAAAGCAAAACGTTCCTACAGGTTTCTAATTACAATTCTTATTTTTATTCTTATTCCTTTTTTACTTGTTTATTTTTTGTTTTTTTTTACTATAAAACCTATCTAAAGCTCTTTTTTCTAACTTTATTATGGCCTTATGGTTGTGTGTGTGTGTGCGAATTATTTCAATAATTTTAGGTGAGTGAACACGTACCACTTCTTTTTGGCAGAACCTTCCATTTTATATTCTGTATAATTCAAACCTTATCCAAAGTTTTGTTTGCTCTCCTGATTTAATATTTATTTGCTTTTATCAATCATTTCATCGTCTTTATGCTGATTATGGAATCGAAATAAACCTATCTAATCGGAACGAAACTCGCCACCACAACAAATATTTTTCACAATGTTTCACCTGGGGAATCCCCTCGTATTTTTTTCGCCTTAACGAGGAAGTGAAAGTGTTAATGTAAGACGGCTTGGTACGTTACCGTAGTTAGTAAATCTAGTGTATTACATAAGTACATAACACTGAATTTAGCAAGTCAGGTGATTGTCATAACCAAGTCTGGTAAGTGTACAAAATTGGATTTATTACCGTAACATTTCAACATCCTATCCAGTCAGGTCAGAATGTGAATGTCTGAATGTGGCGGATGTTCTCATGCTGTCATGTTCGCATGTGTCAAACAGATAGGGCGCTCAATCATATTTATTAAATTTAGAATATCAAAAGCATTGCTCCAAATGCTCTCAGCATCTTTACTGAATTGTATCCACAATAAAAACAGATATTTGGGTCATAAAACAGTCTTTTTCAGTATTTATTTAGTCATAACTTTGAAATTCCCACCCCCCCCCCCCCCCTTCTACAACCCTAAAAGTCTATGTCGTCTTAGCCATGCTAAGATATCATAAATTGTTGTTGTTGCGCAGGTTTCTTAGGTTTATACTAGAAACATGTATGATGGTTATGGTCCTTGCCATAGTGTGCCATTCTGTAGTTAAGTTACGCCCAGAACTGCAGAATGGCACATGTTCTTCCATGTCTCGTTTGCCTGTTTGATTCCCCCTACAGGCCGTGTATAACTCAGGGTACTGTAACAAACATGCCAAATTTTCAAACTATATTTATTGGAAAATCACTATTCCTAGTTTAGTTAGATCATGGAAAATGTAAACACAATGATATTTTCAATATAAAGTAAAAAATTTTGCATTTTAGCTTACATACTTTACTGCACAGCTTAATCCCAAACTTTGCCAAATATAAAAATTTTTAGCAGAAAAGTGAACTCAATAATGTCAGATGCTACAGGTAAGCAAGTCATTCGTTACTATTATTTAGTTATCGAAATTACCTTCTATACTAATATAGGCTTTCAAATTGGTGCTCCAGAAGTGTGTGTATCAATATGGAGGTAACTAATTTTGTGCGCCTACTTTACATCAAGTTGTATGAAAGGAGGGGGGGGTATATTCACTTGGCTAAAACAGACAGTCTCCGAACTCGTAATAGAACTAGAATAAGGAAAATCGGAATAAAATTATGGCATAACCCTAACCTGGTACACACACTACGGGAGTACCTTCAAATTTATGTTGAAAAAAGCAAAATTGCCAAAATCACTTTATCATATGCTAAACCCCACATTCTCATTTGGTTATCTCCAATTCTTTTGAATCCATTGCTATTTTTATGATTATATTTTGGTGAATTATTGGACACGTAGTGGACATAGCGATCGTTTCAATATTATGTTGTTGTTGTTGTTCTTGTTCTTTGACACGTTTTCAAAAAGTCGCTTTTCTCTTTGATTACTGGACCAATTGCTTTGAAATTTTCAGTGGTTAAAGATAAAAATTTTCTTCAGAAGGGTATTACTTTTTTATGCTATGACGTCATCAAAATTACTGTCATTAGGTGGCGTTACGTGTCCATATATTTGAGCATAGCTCTCTTGTTTCTTTATAGAATTGTTTTTATGCCATAATTCAGCAACAAAGTGTCACTGACTGGATGTCCTCCATGGCCCTCCATCAACCACTATGAGGCAACATTCCTTTTTCTTGTTTTATTTTTAATATATGTGATTTTTATAAAAATTCTTTCACTATTAAAATCATAGGCAGAGGGCCGAGGAGCGAGACGAGAAAATTCCCAATATTTCCATTTTTGAAATTCAATAATTATGTTGCATTTGGAGTGAGAATAAATGATTTTGTCTGTTTCAAAACCTTTTTACTCTGTTTTTGAATGATTTACCCGCAATGCTCCCTCTAATTTTTTGTAGTATGTGTGCGCAGAAATTTTAAAGTGTGCGCACTTTTTTGGAAATGACTAATATTTGTGCAAAAACCAATGAAGAAATTTTGGCGTTCTAACCGGGTAATGGGTGGGCCAACAACAAATTTTCTCGACCTGCCAATCGAGAACATTGTTACATTACATCGAAATATGTCTGTGCGCAGTAAATCTATCCGTGTCCGCAGCCTCTGAAAGCTGTGTGCGCGCGCACACGCGCACGGGAAACACTGTTTACCGGTAATAAAAACCTGACATTTACTGACTTACCGGTACTATGAATAATCCTTTCTCTAAATGGAGAAACTGGGCAAAAAAGATGAATGAAAATGTGTGCTTATATAGCTTTGACAATTAAAAAGATTCTTTAAGATATTGTTAGATACCAGTGGTTACTTTTACCTAGCCTATTGCGGAAAAGACACGAAAAATATTTGCCCCGTTCCCCCCCCCCCCTCCTCAATTTTGGGCCGGTTACCCGTGAAGTTTACATTTTATTTATTTATTTTAGCCATAGAGAGAGTGGAAGATTTAATGGATGAAGTAGTCAGACTAATGCCAAATGAAGAATGGTTGCCATTCGCTCATAATTCTAGATGGTTGGCAATTTCTGATGAGACAATCGATGAGATTGTTCCTGACATTGAAAATATAACCAAGATGCAGAAATATAAAATATTGAAAATGTGGAAACGACGAATTGGGAGTGAGAGCTTTTATTGATGTACTGGATTAGTGATGAAAATTAATTAGGCTGAGATTCAAAAATAAAACACGTAAATGTTGAGGACTTCAATATTCCCTCAGAGTTTAAAACATTTCACTGGGCACATAGTTGATTATAGCTGAGTATACCAGGGATTCTGGGAAGTTTGAAATATGACTACGGCTTCGACTTTAATATTAATAAAAATATGTCAACCAGACCCTGGCTATTAACTAAACATTTCATTCAATATATTGCTTTGAAAAGTTTTTCATATCTATCATCGTGTTCTCATATTAGTCGTTGTTAACGTATTACAAGTACTTAAGCATTTTTAATTTATCTTCATCTCTGTATATGTTGTCTTGGAACTGTTAATGTGTTGTTTGATATTTGTGTTATTGATTCAGGGGAATATATAATAAAATTTAAATCTGTATATCTTATTTACAGTGGAAGCTAATGGTGCCAAGTTGAAAGAAATCTTCCAAAATTTCATGCAAAACTATGAAATGTTGCAAAGTCAAGGACAGTCACAGCCAGCATCTCAGCAGACAGAAGTTATTCAAGAGGGCGCTGCTGCACAAAACATGGCAGCCCCAAGATATAGGATTGGTTCTGGGACAACACGAGAGGTGGGTGTACAAATTATTGAATGCACCGGTATCTCTTTTATCAGGGGTGGGGGGCCTAATAAAAAAGTGCTTTTATTTCAAGATAATTTCGACGCTGACTCTAATAAAACCTAAAAATACCAACTCGTGCTACAGACTTCACATCCCTGGTTATGGAACAGATATCTAAGTTTCAAAAATTTTCTAAACATAATGATTTTTACAGCTGAAATAGTGAGTGATAGATATCAAGTAGTTATATTTAAAAAGTCCTATGATAACGCAGGTCCAACCTCAGGATGTAGCACAACCCACAGTTGCAGAACCTGCTCAACAAGAAGGAAATGTACAGCATGATGCTGCCTTGCCCAACGAAGGAAATCAGGCGGCTGAAGCGCAGAATCGAAATGCAGCTGGTAATACTATCGGTATATTAAATATTCAATTCATTCAATTTCACGATGACATTCTTATAGCTTGAGCAACATGTAGTTGCGGAAACGTTAGATTAATTTTGATGGCGTCATCTAACAAAGTTTCAAAGCTACAAACAAATCCAATAGAGCGTATAAAAATTTTTGAAATGAAATGAAAGCCTTCTATGGTCAACAACAATCTTTAACCCCTGAAAGTTTCAAAACAATCCATAAGATTTACATATTTATCCTGGGGGAGAGGAAAGGTAATAATAAGACGGCCTAACCATATGGCGAACCAAGGCCTCTCGTCCGATTACCATTCCATGTCAGGTATGGGATAAGTTAGTTATTTGTTTTCGGAAGCATAGACTTGAGCGGTTGCGTGAACCACTCAATGGCGGCGACGAGTCCAGCAATCTTCTCGATCATAACCATCCCCGGATTGGAACCTGCGAACCCATGCAGGATAATCAGAGGTGCAGTGGTGAGCACATACCTGACGCTTAGCATAATGAGCCACACTGCCGCGCCACTTCATGTTCAAAAAACTATAATTTAAATGACAATATAAAAGAATTAAAAAGGGGGATATTTTTTGCAGGTTCTTTTCAGCCCAGAGTCAGCATGACCACTGGGACTATCACAGCAGGACAGTTTGTTGGATACAGCGAGACAAATAATTACCCCGGACAAGCATAAATTAAATAATTTTGTGTTAGTTACTTCGTTTTAGCTCTTTTTCGATTTTATGAAGCAATTTTCATTTAATCAGGATTATAATCAAGTTTGTTTCTAAGCAGGGCTGCCATAACGTCCTCATTTCTAAGATTTGACCTTATTTTGAAGGTCTTCGCCCTAGGAAATATTTTTGTCCTTATTTCTAAAAAACGTCCTTATTTCGACATGTGTCCTTATTTTTGTTTTATTTTACGGGTAGACGTTTTTATACCGGGCACTTACATTGGTCAATTTGAATGATTGATTTGCTAGAAATAATATTAGAACGTCATTGATTGCTACGGGCATTCATTAGTTCTTATTTTCATGTTTCCCAGACGCCCTTATTTTTGGGTTCACATCGATGGCAGGCAGGCAGCCCTGTTCCTATGTCATCATGAGCTTCCCAAGTTAACTTTCTTTTTTTATATAATGCTTGTTCTTAACTCCCACAAAATGTTTATTTTCGAGAAGTGAAAACAAAAATTTGTTGAGTCCAACTTTTGTAAAATATGGGAAGCATGTGGAATTTTCTGAATGTTTTTCTTTTTTGAAACCGATTTTCTAGCTTTTCCTAGATCATAACAACCTGATGTTCTGTAGGTTTCATGTCAATCGGTGTGTGCAATTCATCGTTATAATTCTTCAGCTACCTTTTCTAAAGCAGTGGTGCCAAAATCTTGGCACGTGGGACAATTACGGCCAGCGTAATGATTTGATATTGCCCTCTGAACTCGAGTGAAATAGTTTAACACTTTCTGTTATTTTCCTTTAGCGTTCTAGATGGCGCCAATTATTACGTCAATATCACAGTTTAATCAAGCATATACTCGTAACTTATTCGTAATTCAATTATACCGGTATCTTGATTATATGTAACGGTATCGACCCTAGTGGGCGCAGCCCTCTTCGGGCCTGCGAAAATCCTTTCTCTTGTAATTTTGTCCCCCAGTCAATCAACTTTGGAAACCACTGTTCTGATGCTACTTACACTGACTTTTGGTGCTGTTCATATTGCCTGTATCATCACTCAAAGATCACCTTCTTTTCCGACTTCAGCATAGCAGGTGATGAAATAATTGATAAAAACAAAAGAAATGAAAATTTATTATCAGGCTACCTAACCTTCATTCGCAGTGATAATTTTTATTCAAGCCGTATAGACCCCAAATCTTTGGGGATATCCAAGTTTAATTAATCATATGCTGTTTTAATAGAACTATTTAATTTTAGTGTATCATTGCCATATTCAATTTTGGCCTGCTAGGAATGTATGCTCTTGAAATCGCGCTGTGGATCCCTGAGAGTCTACCTGGGCCATGTTGGTAAGCCCTGTGACCATGTTGATAAGCCCTGTGAAACTGATGATATACTTTATAAATAAATATAAAAATGATTATCAGAAAAGCAAAAAAATCCCTAGGTTATCTTCTATGTGTGCTTGACCTTGCAATGAGCGAATTTCAATTTTTAACTTACTGTACACCAAAGCTAACCTATGCCCGAAATTATTTTCCTGTTAAACTTTCTTACTCTTGTGAATTCTGTATTTTCCATCACAAACCTATAAATGAAAGACCTAAAATGCATTGAACCAACCATTCCAATATTCTTGCATAAAGTATTACATTTTCTAACATACTAGATAAAGTGATGTAGGCTATGTCATTAGCTAATTTAATTCCCAATTATCCTATTTTCCTGTTTTTTCCAGTATTACTGGTCCAAAGGCAATAATAAGCCAACCCCAGAAAAATGAAAATAAGCTGATCCACCCAATAATCCAATTCCAGAAAACCCAGCTGAAAAATTTGGTTCAGTAAATTGGCTTGTCAGCTGGAAAATATCATATTAAATGTATAGTCAGAGATCACTTTGTCCATATATTTAGTCATGGTTAGCATTTGCAAGGTGTCTCAAAAGTGTAGGGATTCGTTTTTCACTAAATGTTTGTGCTGTGCGATGAATTATCGCACTCCAGCGTTTTGATGGTATCGCACTTCCAAGGATTTGGTACTACTTCGTTTTGGTCTTTGTGTACATTATATTTGAGCATTGCTCTCTTGTTTTTTTTTCGATTTATGGTTATCATGTTACTTGTTGTCAGAAACTACTTTACTATCACTGAATTATTTCAAGTTTTTATTATTTCAGCTATGCTTGAAACTATTTTAATAATAATTATATCTATTATCTAATAATATGTGAAAAACTCAATGTTGTCTATCTGTAGATGTCGTCTATTCCTGACTGATTCTCTATGAGGTATTTGACACTTTGATGCGAGCAAGGCACTAGACAAGAACCTACTAAAGATTAGGGAGGGATCCAATTTGTTTTGAGAGAGGCAATATATTCTGGCTAATAAGCCAACTCGGCGAATAAGCCGACGCCAAGTTTTACCACTAAAAATGAGGGCTTTTCTACATATTTATTCGACACCTGAAAAATAAAATAGGTCTTGCCACTCAATAAGATGACTCTTGAAAATCAGGGTAAAAAATTGGGATTCAGAAAATCGGTTTATTGGTCGAAAAATATGATACATCACTTTTTAAGTATGAAAAAAACAATTGATTTGAGTTGGAATATAGTATTCTTCAAATTGATTTTTTCCATATACAGTAATACTATTTTATACTCCAGCAAATGACTATTTCTCGATTTGTACCACATAAAGAAAGAGAATAAATTGATGATTGATAAAGGATAGGATAGGATTTACATATTTATCCATGGGGAATGGAAAGCCGATAAAACGGCTTTATCGTATGGCGAACCACGGTCTCTCCTCCGGTTACCAGTCCAGGTCGGGTATGTGATTGGTTAGCCAGTTATTTGTTTTCGGCAGCATGGACTTGATGGTGGAGGAAGCCGTAACCGACCAGCGGTTACGTGAACCACCCTAACCTGTCTGTGTATATATCTTTGTTTAGATCAGTGGTAAACAAACTTTTCATTCTTGTTATCTCTAAATCGAATTCACAAAAGCTTAATCACCATTTAAATTCACCTCTTCATGGCTTCATGACTATCGTCGCCACCTAACTACACCTCATTGAACTCCCCACAATATCTTTGTATGAGATTGTATTGGTGTTATCAATGTAAGTATTAAAAGTACAACAGCCCGAAAGTTTAATACTATCGCGTATTTTGTTTATTCAATTTTGGCCCAAGCCTCGTTTACCTAGGCCTCATCTAATTCGGTTTGTATGTGTGTTGGTGGGGAGGTGCATGATACTTATCATGTTTTAAACTTCTTTATAGGATTTGCTTGCTCTCAAGAATTCTCCATTTTTTATTTGTGTTTGTTATGGAGTTTTTAAAATAAACTATCTATCCACAATGAATATTGGAACTAACCCAAAAATATTTAAATACCTGTCTTTGGAAACTAGCTTTTGTGACTCCAATCATCATGATGGCACAATTGGATTATAGACACAAAATCAAAAATTTGATTTTTATCAATAATACTATCCCGTATTTGATCTCGTCATTGAACTTTAAGCGGGATGGACTTTAAAAAAGATGGTTACAAATGAACAGGGATTACAAAAGAAGTTGCTAAGGCAATAAACATCACAAAAATCCTCTAATTATTGTCAAATTGCCCCCAGTTTGGGAACCACTGGTTTAGATAGTTCCCATGTTTGTTTGAACTTGTGCTAATTTACTTTGATATATTAATATGCATCCATCTAATCTTGATAATTTTTTTTTGCTATATACTTATATATACGCTGATGTCCTTTCCTAACAAGTTCACTAAATAATCATGGATTTTGAGTAAACCGAAAATTTATATGAAATTTTAGAAAACAGTTTTTCCGGATTGACATACTGTTTTATTTGCTTGCTACTTTGTTGGTAGTGGCTATGTCGTTATAGACACTACTTGAAACTGTTAACGTAAAATTTGTATAGGTTCATTGTATATTATATCTTTTTTATTTTTTATTCTTTTTTTTAATTCCCATACATCTATCTTTTTGAGCTTGTAATTACTATTCGGTGATTTTCTTGTTTTCCAAAACTTTTCTTCACATGTGTTTTTTAAATTGTTTTGCTTCTCGCTGGAAAGAGTAATGAATGGGTTCCTTTGATTACCGGAACGGACCTAAAATTACCGGAACAGGGCAGAATTTTCGAAATTCCAGAAGTATGTACACCAAGATGGCGCACAACCTGAACATAGTATGTGTATCGGGTTACAATTTAGGTTGTGCGACATCTTGATGCACATACTATGAGAGCCCCGAATTTTCATCTAAAACTACCGGAACGGACCTATCGTAGATATCTTTCAATAAATTTAAAACAGCAAATTTGGGCAGACAGCGGTAAAAAATAAGTTTCTGTAATCACCAAACGGTTCCCAAATTCACTGAACGTGGTGGAATATTCATCTATTCTAAACCTACCGGAACGGATGTGTAGCTTGTTTGAAAAAGTTATTTTATACCCTCCTATGCGATTTTCACTCAAATCAACCAACATAGGAGGAAACAGTGGCCAAAATAACATTCTTTGTATTGCGCTACCTAGTGGATTTATTATCAGTATCAACTAAGTAAATGGGAAATCGAAAATCCAAGTTGTCTTTTATGTTATTAGCTTGTAATTTTTTTCGTAAATAAGGTAACGTAGTCAGTAGTCACAGATTACAACAATTAATTTATTTCTAGCAATCTTTCCTATATTAAATTGGATATTGTATTGTGATAGTAAATAATGATATAACGAGAATGTCGGTCGGAGACCGAAGACTTGTCGATCGAAGGTTAGGGGATCCCCCAAAACAGCTCTCTCACTTCATGGTGACACCGTGTGTCCCATCACTACTAAACTCGCTAATTATACGACATAATTCATCGAAAATCAATAGGCTTATGCAGTGGCGCAACCAGGCCGTTTTCAACGGGGGGGGGGGGGGTCCGACCGGAATTTACACAGTGCAACCACGACGTAAGTCGCAACGCCACTAGGTGTCGCCCCGCTGACCACGATAAATTGCTCATGTTTAAAAGGGAAACGCCATCGATTAAATCCCAGCTTTTCGCTTACCTTGCACTCGTTCATTAACGGCGCTTCGCTATGTCTTGCACCTCGTGGGTAGCAAAACGCCGTTCATTACATTCCAGCGAATTGCTAACGAAAAGCTGTTAATTATTTTCAACGTTTCCCTCGCTTTGCGCCTCGTGGATAGTGAAACACGGCTTGAATAAATTCCAGTGTTTCCCTCGTGCCGCGCCTTGCTCGTTGGGTGAATTCGTCAAGACTAAAAACAAAATGCACTTCTTGCGAATGGATCTTTTCCCGACCCTAACCCCAGAAAAATTCTAAACTAAACTGAAGCTCACCGAAAGACATAATGACAATTAAAATAATTGATTTACAACTAATTTTTGGAAACACAACTAAAAACTGACTAATTTAATGCAGGGATGTCCAAATCGAATTTAAATTCAAATATCGCAAATTTCAAATACTGTTTTTTCGTGTTTATAATAATCCCGAATATGGCGCACATATCCGAGCGTCGTCGTCCATGTGTGGTTCGGCAATATATTACAGCTGACATGAGAGAATTTCGATAAACGCCGACTTGAAGAACTTATAAGACTTCGAGGACGTTTTTGATTGAAAATATTTTCTTATCGGGTATTTTAACTTAGTCGAGATGGTTTAGGCGTCCTCGGCAAATTGTGTCTTAATTAGTTGTTTTCATCCTCAGTTTCGATAGTGACCGAACATAACAAGAAATTTTTTCATTTCTTCTAATTTAGCGCGTATAAAATAGCTCTTAAATAGTATATAATATCTATCGCGGATTTCGTCGGCATCCGGCATTGATGACAACATCAGTTCAGTTAAAGTTAGCGGTATTCATTTACAAACAAAAATACATAACAGCCGACATGAAATATTCAAATCAGCGCAGAGTTCAATAATAAAACACGTTTTATGGTCTTAATATGCACATAGAAAGAAGAAAGAACAGAGGAATAACGACTAAAAACTAAGAACGGTATGGTATGTTTGTGTACTTTTGTTTACCATCGTCATCATATCAAATTAGTTAAACCCGATTCCCAAATTTCCGTCGGCCAATAATGGAGAATAAAGGTGGAAAAACGTGTTTTACTTTTTGAGCAGCGTTGATATAAATTTTTCATGTTATGTGCTATAATTTTTTGATTATTAACCAATACCTCCAACTTAAAATGAACGATATTGTTATCAACGACGTCGGGATTCGGGATAACGATAAAATCTCCGATAGAAACCAAATAATATTTAGAAGCTATTTTATAGATTGCAAGAAATTAAAAAATTTCTCGTTAAGTTCGATAACTATCGAAACTGAGGATGAAAACAATTAATTAGGACAGGATTTGCTTTTAAGTTTATTGCCGAGACGCACAACATATCTTGACTAAATTGAAATATACGATAACAAATGTAAAAAATTTTCAACCAAAAACGTCCTCGATGTCTTATAAGCACTTCAAGTCAGAGTTTATTGAAAACCTTTCACGACGACTGTTAGTTATTGCCGTGCCAGACATGGCTGCTTTCGATTGTGATAAAAAATGAAATAATTGTGAAATGTTTTTAAATCAGAACGTAGACGGGGGCGGTAGGATGTTTTCGGCCTTTTATATGTAGAAAATCTTAGGTTAATCGAAGCAATATTTTTCCGAAAATAATTTTCGTATCCAGATTTTCAGAGTTTCTACTGCATTATTATAACATGAAGACGGGCGGCGTTACATTGCGTCAAGATGATGAAGCACGAGAGTATTCGTCACAAGAGAGAAAGAGATAGCATTATGCTAACATATCTCATTTTCGAATACAAACATATACGCGGGGATAGCGATTATTACGTAACTATCAGCAAAAAGGTATGATTGAAGTCGGGCGGTGTTAAATTACGTCGAGGTGATAAAGCACTGGAAAAAAGTAGTTTTCACCGGATTGTTATGACCGTAGAACGACGTTGTTTCAACGTAGAACAATAATAAAAAAACGAATTTCAAACGGGGGGGACACGACCCCCGTAACCCCCCCGCTGGTTGCGCCACTGGGCTTATGATTCTAGCTATGATGAATGCACATGCAAAATTTGGAGCAGATTCAACCTCGCTTTCGTGAGATATCGCGTGCATCTAACAGACAGACAAATACCTATCAACATACTTATCGATAAGTAATAAGTGGAGTGTTATTTTATCCGATATATATGAAAAGCCTTTGAAATATAAAGACGGTGAATATATAAAACCTTACAGAAACGTGTTAATATATATATATAGTCTTAGTCCTAATAATGGTCTTAAAAACGTCTGCATTTACCAGATTTCAATCAGAATCAACGTTTTAGAACGTTCAACGTTCGTGCTAAGCGTTGGGAATACGCTCGCCACCGCAAATCTGATTACCCTTCGTGGGTTCGCAGGTTCGAATCCCATGCGGAGATGATCATGTGCGAGTGGATTGCTGGACTCCTCGCCGCCGTAGGGTGGTTCACGTAACCGCTGGTCGGTTACGGCTTCCTCCACCATCAAGTCCATGCTTCCGAAAACAACTGGCTAACTAATCCCATACCCGACATGGACTGGTAACCGGACGAGAGGCCGTGGTTCGCCATATGATTAAGCCGTCTTATCGGCTTTCCTCTCCACCGGGATAAATATGTAAATCCTTCCTTCCTAGGTGTCTATACTAGAATGCTATTCCAGGTCCTTCGCGACTCTTGTTGCTCAAAAGTATTTTTAATGATATTCAGCATATTTTCCATTTTTAATTTGTGTATATTATGGAGTTTTCAAAATAAACTATCTATCTGTGTAGAAATTCGAAACGTCGGTAAATTGCATCGTTTTGCTAACACTGGTCGTGCTTTACTTATCCTCGACCGAAATAAACCCCAGGCAATCATGTCATCCGTTTTCAACGTTCTGTAGATAAAGCACTTAACCTATTGTTAGTGTGATTACGTTGCCATCGAAAAAAGTCAAAACATAACATAGAATACCAATCATATTTGCGTTACTGAATACCGAGTTCTCACTTTCACTTTTTCACTGTAATCACAAGCGATTATAAACGCTTCGTACTCGTTAAGCTTAATTATTTATCGATCTTGATCGGTAAGTATGTTGATCTTGATAGATATTTGTCTGTTTGTTTGTCTGTTAGATACACGCGATATCTCACGAAAGCGAATCTGCTCCAAATTTTGCAGGTGCATTCATCATATCTCGGACCAGAAGCCTATTGATTTTGGATGAATTATGTCGTATAGTTAGTGAGTTATTGATGAATTATTGATAAGACACGCGGTGTCGCTATTGAGTCGAAGAGAAGGATACGCGCCGCTAGATCGATAAGTCGGCGGTATCTGATCGCTAACTTGTATGCGGCTTTTCTAGTTGAATCACAATTTTGAGTTATACTTCCATGCGATTTCCCATTTGTTGTAGTGAAATACTGTATGCCCAAGGAATACTGACCTTGATTCAATGAAATTGGAAATATATTTAAGTGATCATGTATTATTGTACCCAAGGTTTTGTTTGGTCTCTTGATTTTATAACAATTGTAGGGGTTCTCGAGCGAAATACAAACAAATGGTAAGAACAATGAAGAACCTTGTGACAGCAGTAAACCAATATATAACTCTATTCAATGTAAAGAATGCCCATTGATACATCTAAAATATATGAAAACTTTTATTGTTAGTTTCTAAGTGCAACAATTAGACTGCCAGATACCAAATTTTGGTTTCTGAATGCGTTCGCGTTCCAGCGTTTGTTTTGTTGTATTTATTTTGAATTCTCTTTAATCACATGTAATTATTGCCCCAATGCGTTAATTCGACAGAGACGCGATTGAGTCCGACACACTATCAACTTTGTTGTCATTTTTTCAACTTGTACGTGTGATACCGCTCAGACACTTTGTCCACTCAGGCAGAAACCGCTATTCAAGCATGGTTAGAAGTGAAACATTTCCCTTTTTGCGGCTTTGCGTGCTATTCGTCAGTTTTCAGTTGTGTTTCGAAAATTAGTTGTGAATGAGGTATTTTAATTCCCATTATGTCTTCCGATAAGCTTTAGTTTAGTTGCAATAATAAAAAAAAATAGTCCCGGAAACGCTGCGATAGACTAGGTAGGGTGAAATGAGCTATTAGTTCGTGTAAGGGGCATTTGGTTGTATATTTTAATAAACACTAGCAGAATAAACTTTTGCAATAGTAAAGTATAGAGAGATTTTTTCTGGGGTCAGCAGTCGGGGAAACATCCATAGCTTCAGAGCTATGAGAGATTTGACTAGTTGGCTGAAGTTTATAATAAAATGTGTGCAGAACGGGAAATGGCAATTATGTGGGAACTATTTGGCTCTATGATTTACCTTTCATTGAATCCCCTCTGATTCAGAGATCAACGAATAGCCGCAAGTTGCCGATCGCTGATTCAGGTGCTTGTATACTCGGAATTGCTGTACAACGCGATAATCCAAATGAATTTTCCAAATGTAAACAGCCAAACGCGACTTACTACGACGTAACCACAATGTATATATATATAGGCTTACCATACGTCCCGTTTTAGGCGGGACAGTCCCGCTTTTTAGCGTCTTGTCCCGCCGTCCCGACAAGTCAGCCAAAAGTCCCGCTTTTGCGTTCAGCCATCCAGCATAATAAACAAACATGTTCTCGTTGCTGTGTAGCGCAACGCCCGCGTACTTACAAGAGATGAATGATGTATTTTGTTTGTTTCGTTGTTTCCCGCTAACATTGTTAGCAAACGTGTCACATGTGTAATCAATTCTCATTTGTCCTGTTCGGACGTTCACGTGAATGTAACATTGAAAACGTTTTTGAAAAACATGCTTGGGCGAATGAGTAAATTCTCAATGCTTGAAAACGGCAGACTATTTCATTATCCTTTATTCCCTTTGCTGTACATGAAAAAAATCTAAATTCAGATAGTTTGTATCGTTAGCGTCCATTCCTTCTATTTTTCGAACTGAACCCGATATTTAGACAGAGAATATGCGCATGAACTCTCGATGTCAATATGATCAATGAAGACACCCGGGATGGCTTAAATGTAGCATATGTAGTAAAATCAGAAACTGTAAGTTACAGGAGGCGTCCCGCTTTGAAGTCAAAAAATATGGTAACCCTATATATATATATATATATACTTCTTGTTATCATGTTACTACAGCGGCCATGATTCTAAACAGTGCCCGCTCTCATTGTCTCGATCATGTAACTAAACTGGCAACGGTAACTTTGGGCAATGAACCCTGACCATTTTGGCGCTGGCGCTATCTCTTTCGGCGTTGGCCGCTTGATGTGTACGTTAAATTTGTATCTTCACCAATCGGGGATTCAATATCACTAATTAGGCGTAGTTTAAATTTACATTCAATAATTATGTTGTCCTTGTCTCGTATAGTTATAACTGGTCCCTCCTGTGTGATAGCACTGTATTTACCGGATTTCTATTTGACTACCGTTTCACCAATTTTTGACTGAATTATTCAGTAATAAACATCTTCGCACTATCGTTTCGAACTTTGAAGGAACCATATCAGATAGAACCGCGTCCTCAAGATTAAAGTGACTGTGCAATCATTTATTTCAATCGGCCACAACGCGCACATCACCATTGCATGGTACTGTAGCCGTTACAGTTACCAGTGGCGTAGCATCCGCGGTCGCGGGGGGCCCACAGCAAAAAGGGGCCCCAAGCGGTGAAAATTTAGGCCGCAAAACCAAAAGCTGCATTGCAAAAGCAATAATGCACATCTTATTTGATGTTAGTTCTGCTTAAATCGTTTTGTTATGTAACAATGTCGGAGTCGTCGATTTTCGGCGTCGTGTGGTTTGATCGCACCGGCCACGGCACAATTACGAAGGCTGTCAGATTGATGTCGAAAGCAAAACCTCTTAGTGGCGCACAAAAACGAAGAATAAAGGGCAGAAGAGGAAGAACGTATGAAAAAATTTAAAGTAACCAAGATAAACGAAATATTTAAACCAAAATTGAAACAATTAGACTTGGGAATACCGAACGTAACTGAGGAGGAATTAAGCCTAGCACCGGTGGTATCGGAAGAAAACCAGATGCGTGTTCAATCTCCAAAAGTGATGGCGCCGGCGTGAATGAATTTTCCTCCAAAACTTACACGACAATTATCACAGTTAAGCTACTGATTTTGGGAGCAAATTGAAAAAATTGATATGACGAAGATGGTGGATGAGTTTGCTAACACGAAAGCGCAATATTTAGGTTACCATAGCCTTTTTAGAGCGACATGTTATGCTTTTTGACGAAATATTTTTGCGGGGGCGCCCACGAGACTGACAGTTACTATTTGTAAACAGTTTCAAATTTAAGTCTGAATTTAATTAATGAACACTCTATTCGATTTCTTTTCGTGGTGTCTAGTGTTTAAGTAAAGTGAATCTTGTTTAGCTCTAACGATTACAAAAGCATCACATCTAAACCATATGAAAACACTCACTGGAAATAAACTCAAAATTTGCAAGCTTTGTGGAAAGTCCTAAAACAAATCATCATACGAGAGAGAGTAAATACAGGATAGAACTCGATGCTTGTGATTTTTGTGGAAAATGCTTTACAATGTCGAGCAATTTGAAGATTCATGAGCGGATCTACACAGGAATCAGTCCCTTTTCATGCAAATTTTGTGGGAAGTGTTTCACGACGCCTAGAAATTTAAAAAGACATACCCGAATTCACACAGGAGAAAAACCATTCGACTGTAAACATTGTGGAAAATGTTTCTCACAAAAGGCACATTTAAAGAATCATATCTTCATTCACACTGGAGATAAACCTCATTCTTGCAAACAATGTGGAAAATGTTTTAATAAGTCGTATTATTTAAAGGTTCATATGCGAATCCACGCAGAAATAAAACCATATACTTGTAAATATTGTGGAAAGTATTTTACAGTGTCGAGTGGTTTAATGGCTCACGAAAGAATCCACACAGGGATCAAACCATACAAATGCAAATATTGTGAGAAATGTTTCGTAACTGCTGGAAATTTAGAAAGACACCACCGAAGACACACCGGTGAAAAACCATTCAGTTGTGAACAGTGCAGAAAAAGTTTCACAACATCAAATGATTTAAAAGTTCATGGGCGGATCGACACAGAAATCAGTCCCTTTTCATGCAAATTTTGTGGGAAGTGTTTCACGACGCCTGGAAATTTAAAAAGACATACCCGAATTCACACAGGAGAAAAACCATTCATTTGTGAATATTGCAGAAAATGTTTCTCACAAATGGAACATTTAAAAAGACATCTCTATTCACACCGGAGAAAAACCTTATTCTTGTAAAGAATGTGGGAAATGTTTTGCATCATCCTCTTATTTGAAGGTTCATATGCGAACCCACACAGCATTCTAACCATATACATGCCAACTCTGTGGGAGGTATTTCTCGATGCCTGGAAATTTTAACCAAGCATACCCAAATTCATACCAGGAAAGCATCACACACTCGTGAACATTGCGGATTGGTATGAAGGTCACACCAATTTGACATCTATATCATCTTATTTAAATTAATACTGGAAAAACCCTTACTCATGTTGTCTAATTTAAAATTAAAATTTGTTTTCCCATGATAGTGTAATTTGGAGATAATTTTTTTATCAGATTGCTTTATTTGCTGCTATAATACAGCATTTGCTGTCGCTGACTGGATGATTCACAGAGTCTCTCGCGATTTCACGTCAATTGCTGTTAATCAATTTCCTGATTATTTAGTTTACTATGTTTTTCTGTTGCTTTAAATTGATTCTTGCGTTGACGGGAAATAAATATCTGAAATTACTATTGTAAGCAAGGTTCCCTCTAATGTGCGCAATTGCGCAGTAAATTCAGACAATTTGCGCAGTAGAATCCCATTCATGCGCACTTGCAATTGCAACATTATGTTTTTAAAGCGTGGGTCCTGGGTCTTCATATTTTTTAACGCATAGCCAGAATGTCCGTTTTGTTTCACGCGTAATTTGAACGCCACTGCTAATTGTGATGTCACAAACTTATCTGTTACGCCCGAGACCTGGATTTCGTGTTGCTGCACGGTATAATTTATTTGTTTTCCGTTGCGTAGTCAACATAAAAAATATTTGTAATGTTTAGAATTTAAATAGGTATTCGAGGTTGCAAAGCTGGTGTCCAATTTTGTTACAGGAAGTTCGTTGGTTGTTGCTCGTAGCCGCGCATGGTTAGGTTAGATTAGTTGGAATTTGAAGGAGGGAGTGCTATTGCCGTCGGCTCTTAAGTCATGAGATTTTTCTAAATGATACAAGTGGTATACAATATTTAGACTATGTTTTACCAGAAATTACTAAAAAGTTTTTAGCGTTTTCATATTTAGCAGGTTACTGGAATGAGTGGTTTATTATTTAACCAAATCCAATACACTAGCGTTTTTATCTTAGTAAAATGTCCATTCAAGAAAGCAAGGCTAAAAATAAGAATCTTGATTCTAGAGAGGAATGGATAAATACTACAGTGGACCGTGAGACACTAATTTGCAATCGTGATACCGGTATGCATGAGTAAAAAAAAAACTGCTAACTTTCCGAAATTTATTGCTATTCCGCGTCAAGGAATGTGATAATCTGCAAAGTTTGTCGGGAAGTGGCACCTGATAGTGATTTTAGAAAAGGTAAATCATTGGAGTAATGGGAAGCTGACTATCTAAAACGCCTTTTGAATCATAAAAGTACATTGACGCACTAGGTGCATTAACTCAGAAGCGATATTTTAAATTAATAGGGGGTAATTTGAACTTTTTCACCACAATGCCAATTATGAAGAGAATGAAGTTTTGAAAACTCGCCAAGTGGAATGAAGCCTCCCATAGATAGTGTTCTACCACGTGGTAAGCTAGAATCATTAATATTGTCCCGCAAAGTAATAAATAGTCATATGTCAAAATACACTAAATTGCCACATTCATAGCGCAGCAAAAATTACGGCTCTGAATTTCTGAAAGCATAGACGTTGGCGTCAGAGATGAAATCTTGCATGAGACAAACAAAATTTCATACCCTGATTGCTGACGAAAGCAATGATACAACAGCAAAAATGTTGATATTGTACATAAAGTATTGTACTTTAGATGATTTTCGCTTGATTCAGAAATAAACATGAAAAAGTGTATAAAAATTGGAAAAGCACGAAAGCAAGGATAAGCTATTTGAGTAAAATGTGTGCTTTGTTCACATTCCGATAATATATAATACCATTGTAATATTTCAAAAAAAATTTAGGATTCTGCTCAGCCTTAAAATAGTCTTGCTCAGTAAAAACAACATTTGCGCAGTGTGAAATTTTCTTAGAGGGAACACTGGCTGTAAGTACTGAGTTTTACTAGTCGACTAGTTTGAAAAGACATTTGCTAATTCGTGGTTAATTTGCCGATTAGTTGAGTCAAGTTTATTTTTTTTAACTAGTAAAAAAACAATCTTATACAATTTTAAAAGACAATCATACAATTTTACTGAGGAAGGGAAGTTGCGGGGAACCAAAGGCAGGTTATCGAGTAGCAACATCCAAGGTTCTAACAACTAATTAAAAATATCGGGGATTTTTATTTACGGGCCCACCGTCATTGTCGGGGAGTTCCGCATGATTCAGCCAAATTATACTGGATAATCACATATATTACTAGAGAATGTGTTCAAGCGTATCTGGAATTCTGTCAGACAGTGGATTTCAAGTGCAAATACCACGGGAGTCACTTAGCTAGTCCCCGAACTCGTAATAGAACGAACTAAAATAAGGAAAACTGTAATAAAATTATGTCCTAACTAGTAACTACGTTCCGGTGTCCGCCATCTTGGTTCACATAATACGGGATCGCCTAAACTTTGTACCTGAAATTACATCGATATAATTTCTATGTTCAATCAACTGATAGCGAGTATACAGTAGCTAATATGGTTCATCGGCTTTCTTCTCGCCCGGGATAAATATCTATATTCCAGATTTGTCGATAGACAAACCCGTTATATCAGACATGAGCAAAGTACGGCCCGTGGCCCAAATCCGGTCCGCTAGGCTAGGTCACAGGGGCTCTCAGACTTTTGGTGTTGCGGAGCCCTTGAAAATGTTGACTACTATTCACGGAGCCCCAAAATAAATGTTAAAATTGTCATATTCAGATTATATTCCTGAGCAAGTTAAAAGTACTTTACTCAATTTAAATACTGAACCTTTTTTAATATGGTTAATACAAGTCATAAATAAATCTAAATTTCAAACATAAATTATATATACTAAAGCTGTAAATTTGACACTTGACAAACATACTAATAAATTAGGGGTCTAATCTTTTCCCTTTGGACATTTTTGGAAGACTTAAAAGGCCGCTAATAATGTGCGCGATTGCATTTTGTTACAATAGCCGATGTTTTTCCTCAGCATGGCGTGTTTTTGAACCTTTAAACATCTTTACGCCGGTGTTTATTCTCGCTAAATCAAAAATTTCCGTCGGCATATACATGTATTGTTTGTTACACAATGACGACGTTAATTGCATTTTTGTTCTCGTGGGGAATTATGAGTTCAATGTGAAAAATATGTTAACATTTTATAGTCATCGGCGACGAAATGCTAAAAATAATATTTAATAAAGAGGTAAATTCGCAACTCAAATTTCTTGATTAAAAATAGCCATTCTAAAATATCAAAACTTGAAATGGAAGATCACACGTTTGGTTTCAGCAGACTCACCTCAGATTGAAAACGCTTTTATAGAATTTGGTGTTATGTTAGGTTTTCATCGTAGTAACTGCAAAATCGAAACACTGTCAATTGTGCGCGCGATGTATCTTTTTTTCCCATTTTGAAACTACCGACGGAGCCGCACGCAATCAATTGTGCGCGCGATTCGCGATGTACCCTTTTTTCATTCTGAAACTACCGACGGAGCCGAATGCAATAAAATAAATTTCAACGGTGATATCTTGCTTAAAATAATTTCAAGTGCGAAAGAACAAATCAAGGTTGTCAAATCCCAAGATCGCAAAAATACGACTCCAATTTATTTATAGTTGCCAGTTCATCACGTATTTTATGTTTTTTTAGAATAGTATTCTTTCATTTTAGTAATCCTAATAGTAATCTCGAATCAAACGTGACTAACGATGAGACACGTTAAATGCTCGCGTCGGTCATGGATTGAATATTTTACGCAACAGAAATCTCGTTATCCGTTTTTTTAATCGCGAATGTTGCGCGGAAATTTCCGATTCCAATTCTGAACCACCTCCCTCTCAAGAATCGTGAGATTGCGGTTAAATTACGAGGCTTATTGTTTTCCACGCTTGCTTTTGTAACACTGCAAACATTGTTCATAAAATGTAACTTCTTACGTCCTACTTTACATGGCCAGTTGGATCCAAAAACCGTGCCCAAACTTGCTTTATATTGTTATGTAAATTACAAAGCAGCAGTTCACTTTATATTGACGGAAGAATCAATAGCGAAATAAATCATTCTAAAGTATGATAAGCGGAGTTTCAAGTAAAATTCATCTTTGTAATTTTTCACTGTAACATTGGTTCAACCTCCTGACCTATTAGAGAACGGATTATAAAATAATGGTTGTTGATGCAAAAGTCAACACGTGTAATGTTGTATCGAGCGTCGATAGATTCGGGCGCACTTGGCACTCAAGCAGACAACAACGATATTGACTTCGTTTGCATGTATTTGATTTTATCAAATCTTAATATTTTCCCCATTACTTTCGAAGCATTGTAAGTAAAATCAAGTATTTGGTGATAATAAAAGCATAAGATCTCGATGATCGTTTTGAAGATGAGATATTCCTTGTAAGAAGTGTTTTTCTGTAGCAGTTGCCTAAATTGTGAATATTTCATCAATGTGACATTAAAACAGATAGCGCGGAATTGACAAGCAATAACACTTTGAAGACCTTCTTGATTTTCCATTATGAGGTTTCTTTTCATACATTTTTAAAGTTTTTTGGACTTTATGCACTTTTATTGAAAATTTGGTATAATTGCCAGTAAAACGACCTCTCCGACATAGGAGGAGGGCAATAACAGTATAATAAATACAATGAAGGTTTATAATGCAAGGTGTGTATACACGTTAATATTAAAAGGAATGCTTCAGCTTTCCTGACTGCGCCTGCCCCTTAATTAAAGTAATAAAAGTGGAAAACAACAGAATTATTGTTAGATGATCGGCTAGTTGCTCGGTATCTGACGGTTATATACTTTTAAAATAAATTCAAATTGGATTCAACGCCAGTAACGGTCAACTCGCCGAGTGGAACACACAAACAAATTAATGCTGGCCAACGTCGACAGTGCGCCTAAAAAGCCTGACTGGAGGCAAGTGAGCCATGTCTCTTTCTGCACGAATCAGTCTGTAATCAGTAATTAATTTTTTCACCGCGCTGAAAAATACGAATTCTACATACACAATTTAAAAGAAATATATGAAAAAAAATCGCATTTCAGGGTGAAGCGAGACGCCGAAAACCAAATACGTGCATGCATGAATACATGTTGGCACGTATGTATGTTTATTCGTCTCGTATTGCTAAGAATTTAGAAAATCTGTCAATATTTTTGGAGACGCGATGCATCTCTTATTCCTGAAGTCCACTCCGGATTTTGTAAATCGGACTTATTCGGAACCCCAGACACTCAACCAAACCGATGATTGGCGTTTCCGATTCTTGACGTGTCTCTTGCTTGTATGTGCTTGGGGGATGAAATGTGTTGAACTTTGGGTTTTAGCCTACCTTGCTTGATAAAACGTGTTGTACTTTGAGTTTTGCCTTATTGGAC